TAAGTGTGGTTGTTGTGAGCATTTGCGAAGTGCGTCATCTACAAAGTAACTATAGAGACACGAACGTGTGAAACGAAATTTTGAGAGCGAAAAATACAGCAAGCAATATGACATATATTTCAAATTTCGTTGCGGGGACCATTGTGCACCAGAGGAACATCTACATCTTTCTAGATACGTAATGGTACATATTGAAAAATGACGGACCAAGTCTTGGCGAACGTAGCTTGTCCAGCCCCAGCCGCATGGCATATGCAGATTTGGCGCGCGGCGAGCCGATTTGACATGCGATGCACTCGGCAGCCACCCATCTTGGCACGAAGTTGTTTGCATAGATTATCAGATTTGGTCCCGAGTGTTTGGCACCACCACAGCACCACAGCCTGGGCGGCTGCTTCCACCCCAACCTCTTGGCTGCGAACCGTCTCAAGTTTGTTCAAGTTCCTTTCAAGTCGTAGTTGCGAACTCGACGGGAATGATTGGGTCCCGGGTTGGGTGTGGTGGACGGAGTGAAGGGGATGACCAGAGAGCACCGACGGACCTAGGGATTCCGGGTTCGTGGGGGGGAAGAATGAACTAGACGGTCTGGTAAGTAGCTAGGTAAGGTAAGTAATGGTAAGGTACAATAGCCCCCCCCCCCCTTTTTGCTGCCTACGCCTGTTTTGCTTGTTGGAAACTGCTACATGGAACACGGGAAGGGGGAACGGGGGAACGGGTGATCCACCGCTGCGACGAAGAAAAAGTGCTTGTCGAAGGCTTGATTTTGGCGATCAGACGCTGCTGCCCTTGTCTTGTCCTCTTCCTCTCTTTTTTTTTCTTCCTGTTCTTGTTACAGGTTGTCGTTCCGCCGCGTTCCCGTCATTGGCGGATTTTCCGGCATTCCCTTTCTTTTTCGAAGTTTCTGGGCAAAAGGAAAATGTCACGCTGAAGGTTGAGGGTTGGGCGGGTATTGACCATTTCGGCCCCCCGAGGCCGGCGCGAGCAGATTTCTGGAGATCAAACATGTCGACTGTTGTTACTGCTGCTCTTACCTTGCGCTAGGCAATCGAACCAAACCATCTGCTTAGAGATTTGTGATCTAAATATGGTTTACGTAGGCATCCAGATATGGTTTGACGTCTGGTATGACGCTATTGACAAGTAGGCTAATTATCCAAGGCCAAACCCGACGAGAGAAAAAGAAAAAAAAAAAACTGCCAGAAAGTCGAGTTGTAGTCGGCGGCAGGCCGCATGAGAGCGTTTCCAAAGGGAACCAAGACCAGCCAAGGAGCGGGAATGGGGCGTGGCACTGGAGAGAGTTTGAGACGCCAACACGTCGAGACAGCCGTCGCCGCAAAGCTTGGCGGTTCGAACGGTAGGAACGGTACGGTACCGTTCCTTCGAAGGGGGCCGCGCCCGGGCGGCTGGACCCCTTTGCTTGGCATTAATTGTCAGATCGTTTCTGTCGTTGGTACTCCGTACCTGGTCGAATACCTACGCATGGTAAGGTAGGTAGTACTGGAGCCCAAGGTTCTACTGGCATCGTTCCTGATAGGCGGGGCTGTGGCAGCCAAAAGCGTGTGAACCTAGGTAGAGATCACTTAGCCCAAAGGTAAGATCTGGCAGCTCATGTGATTGATTGATTGGTGTGCGTCTGTGATACCCGTTCGTGAGTGTTAGAGATCTGGGAGGTTTAGTTCCGGCCAATCAGAAGAGAAATGGCGGATGCTCGGCATGGTTCTCTACCGCAGTACGATGGGATTACTGAATGCTTCGGTGGCTGAGTCTCGTGCGTGGTGTCCATTCTGCTGTGCGGCATACGACAGGTACGAACGCAGCAGACGCAGCGGCAAGAAAAGAGGCTTAGCTGCAGTGCGTTGTTCTCTCTTCGTTCTGTTGGGTCTGCTGCGCAAGTGTGGGAATTGAAGGGCACCCAAATCGCGCCAATGTTTGCTGGTGGGGTTCGTTCGGCACGTTCATGCGGGTACCGGATCCATCTGGCATCTCGATGCCTTTGACCAAAGTGGAGGTTTCTTAGGAGGTTCCCTATCAAATGTGAAGAGAACCTCAAACAGTGACACCTGACGTTTTGGATCTGGGGTGTCATCATGGTGCTTCTGGCTCGCCAGCTTGCAGTGCTTGTGTGGGTATTGTTCATGTTGGGCTGTCTTATTATGTATTCGAGTATAACTACCGGTAGTCTACAGTAGTAAGAAGAAGTGTCTCTCCGGTCCGCGTGAGAAGGTCAGGTCAGCCGGGACGAGCGACGTAGACAATACGCTGGAAATGTCTCGCTAAGGGAGGTGGCCTCAGTCGCATGACTACATTTCGTGTGCGACCGACCTTGGAAGTTACAAGACTCCCCTTTCCCAGGCAGTCGTCACCTCTTCCCTTTCCTCCCATGCGACGCAAGCGCCCACGGAGATGCATATCGCAGGTGGGAGCAGCGAAAGTCAAGCGCGAAGACGAGCCCAGCTCCGTCCTAGCCACTTTGGCGGCAGCTAACCACCTAACGACCTACCTAGACTCACTCTGGCTCGAACCAAGGGTGCCTCATTCGTGTTAGTACGCAAGGAACGCGAACCTCGGAATCCGAATATCGTTGAGGGTGAATCGAATCTGTCATCATGGCGTTCAATGCTGCGGCATATACCGAGTGACGGTCCATCTATGCACCGCGCCCATGGCGAAAAGCTATGGATGGAAATTGGGACGGAGCGCTTTTAGGTGGGTAAGGTTGTAAGGCGCGGTAAGGTAAGGTAATCGCCCACGAGCTGCTCCCTCCAACGGAATGTGGTCATGGGAACAAACTCGGCGTTCAAAGACTTGTAGCATCATCAATGGCGAAAAAAAAAAAAAAAAGAGACAGAAAGAGGCGGGAGAGAGGACGCATCACCATGCCGCCACCAGGGACACGCATCCGGCCAATCAGGCGGTATCCACCTTTCCCCAAGTTGTGGCTGGGGCGCTGGCGGTGTCGGCTGTGGCCCTGCTGCGCTGCGCTCTGGGTCAGGTCTGCAAGGAACAGTCATCACCTTCAGCCATGCCGGGTCTAAACCGAGTTTTTAGGTACTGTGGAAGAGTGCTATGCAAGCACTGCAAAGTTCCCATTATTGGACACGGGGGCCCCGTAGCCTAGTGGTTAGTTGGGTTCGGGATTACTCGCGGGTACCTCAATCTATCGCGCTCATCGGGCCTTGGCCGATTGTATTTCGTGGCTCCCCGCCCCGCCTGAAAACGTGTCCGTGGTGGTAAGTCGGGGTTCCTTCGCTCATTCGGTCCCAGTGGAGTGCTACCTACTTTACGGCATGCGCAGCTGTCTCGGGGGGGCACTGTCTTGGGATTGGGGAAGAAAAAAAAAAGCTTCGATTCCTCGGCCCCGCAGCTCATCGCTCTCTCCGAATGACCTCAGCACAGCAAAAAGAAACTGTGTAGGCCCCTAGGTAGACTACACCACGCAGGGCACTTCACTCTGCATACTGGCTGGCAGTGGCAGCTGGGTAAGGGTACCAAAGTACCCATCCGACGGCGGAATACCTATAGGCTACACTACACTACCTACGTGCCTATACGTGCCTATGGGAACTAAAATGCTTAGACTGAAAAGTACTGGGCTGATGCGTCGTACCTACCTTACACCTCCACTGTGACTGAGGTGGGACGGGGGGTGGAGAGGAGGGGGAGCCACCAAGCAGCATCGCCCAGCCCGTCACTTTCGATGCAGAGCAGGGATGTCCTCGAACCTGTCACTGGGCCACTTCTCTCTTTCACTGCCTTATTACCGTGCCTTACTCCATACAGCCCTTTTTATCGACACACGTTTCCGCTCTTCTTCTACCGCTGCCGTCTCGGAATTCTTTCATCTCACACACTCACTCTTATCCACCAGTTCGCCTCTCTCTGTCTTTCCCATCAGATCCTCCCCATCATTCGGCTCTCTGAATAGCTTCATTGTTTCACCTACATTTAAAGCAATCAACAACAAGTACACACGTACACAAGATGGCCAGCAACGACTACTACAACCAGGGTGGCAACTACAACAACCAAAACTATGGCCCTCCTCAAGGCGGTTACCCTCAGCACCCCCAAGCTGTAAGCACTCACCCTCATCTTGTCCTCCCCCATTCCTCACGCCCAGACAATTCTTCTCCGTTGGCGCATTCCAATGCCTCAGCTTGATTACATGCGCCGGGCCTCTCTCTACCTTACTCACAATCATGAATTTGACATGCGAACTACAATCACTAACATCCTTAGGCCTACGGTCCCCCTCAAGGAGGCTACCAGCAGCAGCAGGGCGGCTACTACCCCCAAGGCGGCCCGCCGCCCATGCAGTATCAGCAACAGCCTCCCATGCAGGCGCCCCGGCAGAAGAAGCAGGGCGGCGGAAACTGCTTGACGGCCTGTCTCGCCGCCCTGTGCTGTTGCTGCGTCATTGACGAGACGTGCGAATGCTGCGCAGAATGGTGAGTTTTCTCGCTGTCCTCATCTCAATCCATTATCATATACAGTGACTAACGATATCCCAGTTGCGAGTGCTGCTTCGACGTTTGCTAAATGAATTGAGAAAAACTCTCTTTCACTCACCCACTTTAGCTCATCTCAACAAAATGAGAGCTAGAGCGAGAGATGATTTTTTTTCTTCTCTTTCAATTCACTTGCGGGATTCAGCAAAAAACCTGACATCCTCGGTGTGTCAAAAGTACGGTCTGTGGTTTCCGTTCAAAGAAAGTGGGGAACCCGACGGAATCACGGCGAATACCTAACGTCGAAGAAAAAACTGTAATTGGCTCCCAACAAATTTCCCAAACGACGACGACAGGCAAGAGGAAGGAAAATTGATGGAAATCGACGGCTCTATTTCACGCCGCCTCTTGCACGGCTCAATCGGCCTCGACTGGCGCAAAGCAAACTCGCAAAAGAACACGAAACCTGAGACGACGAAATGAAGTTGGGATGGTTATAGGGACGAATCGATTGGAGGAAAGTGGAAAACTTTGGGAGGGACGGGGTTCACGATGGGTTCAGCGACCTCGTTGATTACTTTTTCCCCACGGGCGTTCATGGCGCTGTTCTCTCCATCTACCTATCAAATCTGGATGAATTATTTGTCGGTGGGCGCATTTTTTATGCGCCGTAATGACTTCCCTTCATTAGTCGTCTTTATTTCTTTTTTTTGTGGCAAATCAACATGTATACCTCACTAATATGAGTATTGAAACTTGTGGTCAACGTGACGTGAGATGAAGACATATGGACTAAAGCACCAACGTTCAGTCGCCATTATCGTCCATGGGCTTGTGTGCACATATCATATATCCACATTGACTGAGCGTTGAACGGTTATGGCGAAATCACAGAATGCTGCAAGCTTCTCGTCAATCAAAGTCAGGACAATAACACCGATATTTTTATTCCTCTTAAACGCAGCTAAGCGCCTCACAACTCAAGACTGTTCTTGGTTGGGAGGCCCAGGGCGTGATTCGTCGCTGGCCGTCATGGAGACTTTTTATAACCGCTACCCAAGAATCCATCCCTAGTTGTCCAGCTGGACATAGTTGGCAGGGAAGAGACCCTGCTTGCCACCGTAGGAACCGAACCACCAATCCTCGTCAGGGAACTCGAGGTCCTTGATCGTTGCATTTTCGGGGAACGAAAGTTCTATAGACTAAGAGTCAGCATTGATACATCAAAAGAATAGGGGATGCGCTTTTCTTACCATTATCCTCAGCAGCCTCGTAGTCGAATTGCGCGGTGGCTGTTCGGCCACCAGCGGCAGCTGCCGGTTCCGGCTCCGCTTGAGCCGGTGCGGGAGGAGGGGCGCTTCGTGCCGCCGGCGCCGGTTCAGGCTCATCCTCGACAAGCTCGACGTAGTTGCTGGGGAACAAGCCGCTCTCGCCGCGGGAATTAGTTCCCATCCACCAGTCCTCGTCCACCATCTCGATGTTTGTGACATATTCGCCCTCGCGAAGCTCAAGCTCGTTGTCTTCCGCCTTCTCGTAGTCGTATTGAATCACAGCGCGTTTGCCGCCGGTGTCCGCTTGGCCCGCCGCTACCTGCTCCTGACCAAACGATTGCTCTGCAACAGCTGCGGCAGCGCCACGGCCGGCATCGTTGTCTTCTGGAAGGTCCTCCTCCCTGGGTAGCTCTTGCTGAGTAGGGATAGGGCGGGGAGGTTCCCTCTCCTCGGGTGCCTCCATCTCGACCTGGGGTCCGCGAGATACGGGCTGCGCAACTCTGATGGGAGACTGGGGCTCCTCCTCCTCCTCCTCTTCCTCTTCAGGGGCTGGCCTAGAAGGCAGACCGGGTAGAGCGAACCCACCGGCCGGGGGAGGCCGGGAACCGCTAGGCGGGGGGGGAGGAGACGGTTCATCGTATTCTTGCTGCTGGGGCGGCTGCTGCTGCTGCTGCTGAGGCTGCGATTCGCGGGGAATAGGCGGGGCTCCGCCAGTGAAGCGCTCCTTGAGGGCACCAATGCCGCCACTAGGAGAAGCGGGCGTCTCGACACTTCGCTGGGCATCCTCGCCAGTGTTCTCCTGGCTGATGGAGCCCTTGCCGTACTCGGGCATCTTGACGGGTCCCCAAGACTTGCCAGAGTAGCCGCTCTTCCACTCGCCGGTCGATTGAACGCCAATCGGAGAAGTGACCGGAGGCGAGACAACGTTGGATACGGATCCGCCCTGCTTTCCCTTCTTCTCGGCCCAGAGCTGAGCTGGCGTCTTGCCACCTTGGTCGGCAAATGTGCGGCTTGCGGCACCCACAGGTGGGGGCGCCGGAGCGGAGGGTGCGCCGAATCCAAGACCACCGGGCGCGGGGGCCTTGGTGCCGGTGAAAGCTGCCGCACCGCCAAACTTGTTGGCGACCTTGGGCTTCGGCAGTGACGTCAAGCGTTCTGACTGGTTGAATGCGGCACTTCGCTCGGCCAGCGACTTAGGGCGCTCGTCTTCCTCGGGCTCCTGTGCCGCAGCCTCTGAGGGCTTCTGTGCCTTGGCGCGAATAGCTGCAATGTCGACCTTGCCGATGGGTTCGTACGCACCCTTGACCGGGGCAGGCCTGTCGTCCTGCTGGTTTTTCGCTGCGGCGCGAATCGCAGCAATATCCACCTTTCCAACGGGTTGGTATGCGCCCTTGACGACATCAGGCCTGTCTTGGGAGCCGTTTCCATTGAAGCCGGAGGGTTCTTGCCGTTGCTTCGTGAGCTCTGCCATGTTGACCTTGGTGGGCTTGTACGCAGATTCGACCTTCTCCAGCTGGGACCGAGTCACCTGAGGCGCATCGTCTCCCCAGCCATCCTCGTCGACACCTGCGGGCTTGCGGTTTCGCGCGGCGACGATGGGGTTGACGCCGCTTGATGATGTGGTGGGTGTGAAGACGGGCTTAGAGGCAACCGGAGGTGGGGCAGCGGAAGACGTGGAACCGCCTGCTGAGTACTTGGCACCGGAGGCATCGGCAATCTTGCGCATGACGCTCTCTGGCTCGAGGTCGCTGTCTGAACGAGCGGTGATCTGGACGTGGTAGCCGTGGAGGATCTTGGAAACGGCGGCGGTATGGGTGGTGAAGTAGCCCTTGGTCCTCTCGGGGACACCGCCTCCGCACCAAGCAATTAGGGCGTGCTTGGGGAGGCCAGAGTTGGGATCCTTGACCTTGACAAAAGCGAACTGGATGCGGCCCTCGTTGAAGTCTTCGATGAGCTCCGAGAGCTCGCCATCTACGTGGGAAAGGACACATGTCAGCGCATTGTCTTCCCCCGAGCGAGGTCGGGAGCTCGGGCGAAAGAGCGGGGGAACTTACCACCAGTGCTCTGGACCTTCAGCACACTCTCCTTGTTGCCGCTGTCTTGGAAAGCATTGGCCAAAGGAGCCTGAACTGAGAACAAGGCCCATTGAGCGTATGTTGGGGAGCTCGAGTTTGGGGGCGGGCCGTTGATGACTCCCTGGTAGCTGCTCTTGATCGAGGGTCCGTTGATGGACAGATTGAGTGACGCCATTGCGAGTTTGGGCAGTAAGCTCGACTAGCAGTGGTCGTCGATCGTTGAGTCGTCAGTAGATGAGGGGGATTGGTGAGGGGGGGAAGAGGATGGAAGATGTTTAATCGTAAAGGTCTCCGTCGGAGAGTCGCCTATGTCTGACGGGCAAGAAGCTGACGTAGCAAACCAGCCCTCTCTTCTATTGCAGAAAGTCGTGGACAGCCGAGAGTTGGAGAGGCGCAGCACAGGTGGAACTAGAACTTGGAGGTGAAGCACGGTCCCGCCAGCATCCAATACGCGGACGGTCGGTTACGCAGCTCAGCGTTGTTCAGCGCTGGCCAGGTGTCGAGGCGGGGCAGGCTGGGCAGCTACCTAAAGTGACTGACTGGCAGTAACTAGGAGCCTGGGAGGGGGACGGGGGGAGGGGAGGAACAGGGCGGGCCAGACAAGGCGGCGTACGAAGTAGTACAGGACACACTGTGCTCCGAAGGTGCCTGCCGCTTTCGCTCTCCGCTTCGGGCCTCTGCGCTGCTCTAGTGGGGCAGCTTGGGCATGCCCCCGTGTAGTCCCCGCCGAGTGGGATTCTTCACATATGTAATTATGCCACGTAACTATCGCGACAGATGACGCAACTCGAGACTTTCTCCCCTACAGTCATCAGCCCATGCAGCAAACCCATCTCCTGCCCGCGGAGATCGCTATATCCGATACTTTCGCAGCCACCCCGAAAAATCACGACTTGCCCCTCCAAATAATACCCCTCCACCCGACGTATCGGAAACCCGTGGTTTATCAGCCGTTGGACTTGTCATTCCGCGATTCAACGTCCGACCAAGCCCGTCCTTCCTCTCGAGTGCGTTCCACAAGACTCTACGACTCCACGCGATTCCCTCTTGCGGCCTCTTCTATCCGATTGACCCCGAATAGACCCTTAACGCATCACCTTCAACAACCGACCATCCCAAGAATTCGCGATTCGCCAAAAAAGCACAATGTCGACGATCACGGAGATCACCAGTCTTGCCGACTGGGAGAAGCACATTGCCTCCACCCCGCCTTCCACCCTCCACATCATCTCCTTCCATGCGCCATGGGCCGCCCCATGCGCCCAGATGGCTACCGTCCTCTCGACCCTTGCCTCCGAATATCCCGTCACCAGCCCCCCGCAGACATCATGGGTTTCCATAAACGCCGAAGAGCTCAGCGACATTAGCGAGACATACAACGTCACCGCCGTCCCCTTCCTCGTTCTCCTGCGCAACGGTCAAGTCCTCGAGACCGTCAGCGGTAGCAGCGCTGTCAAGGTCCGCAACGCCATCGAGACACACGCAAAGAAGCCCGCCGGCGCCGCTGCCACGGTAAACGGCAACCAGGGCGTCGAGAATGGTCCCAGCGCGATGCAAGTCGACGAGCCCGTCGACCCGGCCAAGGCCAAGGAGGAGTTGTTCAAGCGCCTGGCGGACCTGGTCAAGGCGGCGCCAGTCATGCTCTTCATGAAGGGCACCCCCAGCTCGCCTCAGTGCGGCTTCTCAAGACAGCTTGTTGCCATCTTGAGAGAGCACTCGGTCAAGTACGGCTTCTTCAACATCTTGGCAGATGATGAGGTACGACAGGGCCTGAAGGAGTATGCCGAGTGGCCGACCTACCCTCAGCTCTGGGTTGATGGTGAGCTGGTTGGTGGTCTTGACATCGTAAGTGGAAAAGTCTCAGCACCGTTGCTGACTCGCAATTACTAACGTTATCCCTTCCCTAGGTCAAGGAAGAACTCTCCAACGACCCCGAATTCTTCGGCCCTTACAGCATCAAGGCCAGTGCTGAGGCCGCTGCGTAATCCGCCTAGTCATCAACAACATCCTGCATATTCACGCCTGCCCGGTCCTCACCGTGTAAGACGTGACGATTCTCGTAGTCTTTACATACCCATTCACATTTGATTTACATCCTCGCCCGGCCACTCGAATTCCAAATCGTATCTGGCTTTTAGATCGGGCGACGATATAGCCCTTGGTGTGATCAAGTCATTCGCCAGTCAGTCAGCCATCGTTTAAAGGTCTTCAAGGTTGTCCCCGATCTGAGAAATATGACTGGGAAGAGACACTTGGGAAACTGATTGAAAGATATCTTTGATTCAAGATGCTGCGATTCCGGGCTCAGGGATTCGGCATGGCCAGAGTAATCATCGTTTGCAAGACACAGGCCCGGCACACAAAAGTTGACGCATTTCAAGGCATGAGAACACGAGATACGGAGGCGATCTCAAACGTAGCGGATACTTTCAGGTACCTTAGTTAGGGCTCGTTCGTCTTACGCTATCGTCAATGACAATGAAATCATTCAAGGTAGACGGCACAACTCTGTGTGATGCACCCCTTGAATACAGCGCTTCATTATTCCTGTGTTGGGACCTTGTTTATTCTTATGTGAGGTTCGATTATCAGAGAGAATGATCAGCGGGGCGCCACTCCTCACCCAGAACATGATACACTACAGACCAGGTCTATTGTGATGACAAGCATCGTCTTACTTCCTAGCCAAACATTGAGGTAGGGCTCAATCACGGTGGTGGTATGGTCGTCAACGTATCAAACTCCCATTGCTCCCATAGATACGCTCAAGAAAGAGCTATTGTAGCATTGCACTCTACCTTATCTTCATTCCCGTGCTGGGCAACGGTATCATATGAGTCCGGGCACCTTGATGGCCGTGGATGATTCATCTCCAGTAGATTTCCGCAGCGGTCCTTCCTCGCCTACCTTGCTTACCTCGAGGTCAGATTGAATACAGGTGAGGAAGCCTTTATACCCTCCCTCAAATCCATTCCTGTCACCAGCCAGGAGGCGCTCGTCTAGGTCGATGGGTCAGGTCAAACTGGCTGGGTGGTGGAGTGGTTAATGGTCAACATCAATTATCTACGCCAACCAGCCTACTCGACGACAGGCTTAGCGCATACGAGTGCCCCAGTTCGAATCCCAGCATGAGCACCAAGAGATGCAGCCCCCAGTTCAACACCGGGGGGGTAAACTCTTTTTGGTTCATGTAGTTTATATACTTTTGATTTATTCCTCCTGAGTGGAAAGGAAAGGTATACAGCGGCGTGCTCACACGAGGGTCAAGCATCAAGCTATAAGCCATGAACGTCTACTTGTGCAATCTTCTCAGAGAAGAGATATTGACGATTCACCCAGAGCACGGTCACCACCAAAATCGTCTGGAGAGCACGCCGTAGAATCTTTATTTCTCCAGCACTGCGTGAATGAAAGGTGAGGTGGCGGTGACATGTTACCCAATCAGACTGCTGACCTGGCCCCTTTCCGTCCCATTAGAGAAATGATTTTGCTTCATCATTGTGCGGTCATCCAGCACCTTGAACATATCTAGTGATGTCTTACACAAGCAACAGAATGAATATATATTCTTCTAAACTAAATGGTTTTGGCATGACCGTGAGCTCAACTCGAGGAGGATCGGACCACACTGGCTGAACTGTACACTTAACTCCTGAAATCGTCAAAAGCTACATCGTTCAAAGTCCAAAATGAGATATCTCGAAACTCGGTCTACTCATTTTGTCTACATGTAACCTCATATCCTTCCTCCCTGATAGTACCATCATTGAAGGTGCGATAAAGATGAGCTCATACAATAGTCAACACCCAAACCCACCCCCCTCGCCCCGTCCCCCATTCCTATAATCGCTGTCCCCTCATCTCCTACATAACAACAACCAAAAGCGCAGTCACAGCACCCAAAACAGCAGCAACATACCCGCCCCCCTGCGTCGTCCTACACCCCGCATTAGGAACCGTAAGCAAAGCAGGAGACGTCGCCACCGCAAAGGACCCGCCACTCGGCGCCGCGAAACCGGCCGCCGTCTCGAGGATCATGGACGTCCAGAGGGACGACGGCAACGTTATGCTGGGTCCGATCTGGACGACGGGCGTGGCGCCGATGCCGACGCCAAGTTGCGGTTGGGGCGTAGGCACGATGGCTGCCGTGGAAGAGACGGACGTGCTGGGTTGCTTGACTCCCGTGTTGCTGCCACTGATACTGCTGCTACCGCTGCCGGAGCCGGAGCCGGAGCCGGACTCACTATCGGATTCGGTGTCGGAGTCTTGGCCTGACCCCTTTCCTGAACCACTGCCGGAACCACCGCTTTCGTCTCCGCTCTTGTCGCCCCCCTTTTCGCTTTCCTTGCCGCCACCAGCTGTGGTACTAGGCACAGGCGTCACTGAAACCCCGCTAGCCGTATCGGTAGGGCCACCGGTAGTCGACGCAGGGACGTCGGATTTGACCGCGCCGCCGTCCGCAGGCAGAGTCCCCTTGTAAGGCAACGCGCCGCTCGAACTGGCGGCAGACGGCGGCGCCGCCGCCGGGTCAGAAGTCTGGGGCTCAGGCTTCGTCACAGCCGTGCCTGTACCGTCGCTCGGCGGGTTCGAAGGCGCCGACGGGGCAGCGATGGGCACGGGAGCCACGGCGGCGGGCTCGGTGACGGGGAGGGCGGGCAGGCCTGTAGGGGTGGCGCTGCTGTTTGATGCTGGGTTCGCGGCGCTCGGGAGGACGGGAGGCGCGCTTGTGGCCGGGGGCGAGGCGGGGATGGTGCTGTTCTTAGGAACTGGGAGAGTTACGATCGGTAGGGAGGGCGTGGTTGGCGCTTCCGGCGTGATGCTGGTGCGGTTTGCTGGGGCTTCTACTGCTGGTTGAGTGGCGGCGGGCGCTTTGCTCTTGGCCGGCTGCTGGATCTGCTGTTAGTGTTTGCTAGACTAGGGGAAAGAAGCCAGGGGAAACTCACCTCGGCGCTCGGAGCTGTTTGATTGTTCGTGGGCGCGAGGGTCGGGAACTTCGAGGGTGTATCGGGCAACGTGGAGTAGATAGGGGTAGGAGTGACCTCGGCGTTCGCGGGCGCCGTCTGGTTCTTGGTGACGGAGAGACTTGGGAATGCCGGGCCCGAGTCCGGGATTGTGGAATATATCGGCGTGGGCGTGACTTCAGCGCCACGTCCTGGGACTCCAGTCTGGTTCTTAGTCGCTGATAATGTCGGGAACGACGCGGGCGCGGAGGGGGCGGACTGGATGGTCGAATATATCGGCGTTGGTGTCTGGTTCTTCTCGGCGATGCTCGTGAGCGGTTTGGAAGAGTTGCGAGGTACGGCTTCCTCGTTGGGGGTCGCGGGCTGCTTCTTGGATTTGCCGGTTCTCTGTCGAGAAGGAGAGGCTCCAGGCGCAGTGCCGTTCGAGATAGTATTCCTGGACTCCTCAGGCTGGACGAGAGCGGGCTCCGTGGGGGCAGCCTCCGCTTCAGCGACGCCGGCGGGGATAGCCTCAGCGGGCAACGCGCCAGAGTACACAACCTTGGGGGGCCCAGCAGCCGCGGTGAGGATCTCCACCTGCGCCGGGTCCGCCCCGAGAATCGTCTGGACGACGGGCTGCTGCGTGAGCTGGGTGATCTTGAACGGTTCGGAGACGACGACGTCCTGAGTAGAATCCGTAATGACGATGACGAAGCTCTCAAAGGCTGTGATGGAGGCGCTTGGGTTCCAGTTCAGACGGCCGACGTTGTCGACTTGCACTGCATGCCATTTTTGGTTAACAGATCAAGATTCCACTTGATGTTCGAACTGGCTTGGAGAAATTCACCTGCAATCTTCTCCGCAATGACTGACAAGTCCGTCTTGCCACTGGGAACCAGGTCAATGTTGATGGGGGCCTGCAAGCCCGCCGTCTGCCACTCAACCTCAAATTGCTGGTTCGGCATCAACACATCCCCGGCTCTCGGCTTCGAGATCTGCGCATTGCATACAGACACAGCAACCGCACCAACCCAAAGCCTCAATGACGTGGTAAACCGCATCTTATTTCCTTGTTTCCTCAAGATGTTTTGTGTCGAGTATAAGAATCGTACCGAGTTCCACCCAAGATAAGCAACCACGTATTGAGAATCGTAATTTTTTTTTTTTTTTTTGATTAGAGAGAAAAAAGTCGGCCAACTTGGGCTCGGGTATCGAAAAAAGTCGAAGGGGCGGGCGTGTGTAAAACGAACGGAATGCTTGAAGTGAAGCTGACCTGCAGGATAGGTTTGAAAAAAAAGAAGGGCGTTCAAAGAAAAAGTGAACAACAGTTAGCAGACAGAATCGAAGAAACGCAACTCGAAAACAGCGCAACAAGAAGTGAATGGAGAAACGAAGATCAAGTGTAAGAAGCAGAAGAGAAGGGGAAGCAAAAGAGAAGGGGAAGCAAAAGAAGGGGGAGCCACTTCAAGATCCTCACCTCCCGGGAAGAGTTTTGATGGGATAGATCTTTCTCTCTCTCGCAGCGGCGCGTGTAAGTCCAATAACTCCTTGGACAGGGGGCCTCGTGGACAAACCGCACCATTTCCCCAGAACGTCATCCTAAGCTTAAGGAGAAAAAGACTGGGCAGGGGGTTTTCGACCATGGTCCACGTCTCATCGGCCGAGACTCGGTACGACGACGGGGGAGAGGGCGGGACCACAAAGTTGAAAACCCCCTGGTCCCATTCGATGAAGTGGACTTTGGCCAAGAACTACAATGGCTGCCCAGATGGCACAAGAAACATTTGCGAGAGCGACACTCAGCCACTTGGTAAGGACCTCGGCGGTAAAAGCGTGGTGGAAGGAGGGGCGGCGATGGCGGGACGGAGGGAGAGGATCTCGTAAGTGGCCAAGGGTGGTTTCGCGATCCTGGGCTTTGCTTCATCTTTCTGCCGATTTCCAGCTGGGCATCTCTCTTTTTGTTTTTCCACTAGTCGCTTGCTAGAGTGTGGCGCATTACGCAGAGATTAAAGCGTAGACCCCGTAGTTCGACAATCAACACAATGTAAATCAAGCTCGTCGATTTTCTTCATAGCTCCTGAGAAAGCTTTCGTCTTAACGATGGACAGTTAAGCTCGTGTGAAGGAAGGGGAAGGGTACAGGGGGCAAGCCCAGCAAAACTTCAGACAACACCTCCCTACTATGCCCCATATCGAGCCAGTAAACCCAAGCCATGGGCAGCAAAGCACCTCGTTGCGTGTTTTTCGTCCAATCTCCCATTAGTGATGAGCAGCCGGGAAAAAACAAGGGCCAATTCATTCGAACCTTCGAGGGAAGAGGGAGGTTGAAAAAGTCGGGATGACATGGGAAGGGGGGGGGGGGGCTTCGTGTAAAGCCTGCGGCTGAGACGTCTGTACCTAGCGTCGATCAAACCTAAAACCTCCCGCCCGGTACGACGCGGAGACGGTGGGGCCGTGTTAGCGGCCTTGCCTTCTCTCCCCGCTTACTCCCTAACAGGAGCGCACTGGTCACGGCCCCTGTCAACGTAATCCGGGCTCGCTGTGGGATGAACCGCCATGTATCACCATTCTTTCTCCGTGTTTGACGCTGTTCAGCCTGTGGATTCCAAGAGCAAAAGGCATGAGGTCTTGGTCATTGGCCCTTCACCTACAATACCGGTACACGGTCAAGGGTTTGGTCACACCATTGAGCCCAACCAATTATCTCCTACCTTGGGATGATAGCGCCCTGTTGTTTCCGCAAGCATAGATCCCAGCTCCTTAAGGATACTCTCAAAGCCTTCAGCAATGTGTATTCATTCTCGTCATTCAGCCCATCACTCAATGCAGGGTTGCAGTGATCTTGGTAGTGGCAATGCTCGTTGAAGTAAATTTCTACTTCGGTATTGTAGATCTTGAACCATGTGGATATCCAACGCCGCTGGGGTTTTTCGGGTGGAAAAATCATACAATTCATTACGTGACGAAGTCAATAGAGCTCGCGATTTACTTAATATTTACCCAATGCTCTCTCCTGCGGCCTGTTCACTACACGCCTCACATGTAACACCTTACGGCACTGGGCTCACACTTAGTAACCCTTGACCACACATCATCGTAGCAAGTGCGGATAGAGCATGAAGCCTGAACTAGACTGAATTCATTCCATTCTTTAACCATCCGTGTGGATTGTAATACCATACATGCCTTAGGCCCTGTCGTCTCCAATTCAAAAACAAAACTAAAAAGTGGTCCCAACCAGCCTGACTGAGCCACCTTGCCGCATTAAACATACACTGCCCTCATTTCGAGTCACCAGTCTCTCACTAATACTTGGTATCCCAATCGAAATGCGGGTCGATAGGCCCCTAAGCCCCGCCCTCAGACTGGTTCCCAGGTGTGTTGGTGTTCGACACACCGTGGAAGGCATCGCCAAACGCAGAGTCCTCCATCTCCATGTTCATATCCAGACCATCGCCCATAGACCCGCCGTAGCCAGCCATGGCGTCACCGGCCGAGTCCAGGTCACCCAGTGAGCTGAAGCCGCCGGGCGTCTGAGTATCTGCTGGCGTTCCGGCAGCAGACGGGGGCTTGGCAGCAGGCTTGGCAGCGTCGCCCTCAGTTGCAGTGGCGGTGGTGGCGGCGGCTCCGGCGGAGGGGTCGGGCGTTGCGCCTCCCTTAGGCACGACGACCCATTCACCGCTGCCGGTTCCTTGATCAGGCGCGGTGGCAGAGGCATCTTTGGAGGACTCTGTGTTGCCCATTGTGACATCCTCACCCGTGGCAGCAGGAGGGCCAGTGGAAGTCTGCGCCTCGGTCTCCTCCTGAATAGTAGGAGGGACCGGTGCGGGCGACTGCACATTTGCGTTGGCTGGCGTACCTGCGTTTGAGTTCAACGCGGACATGTGTGTTTGCGGTGTAGGGAAGTTGTTGAGAGGAGTCGAGTTGGCAGAGAACCCAGTGTGCATCTCGTCGAGTAGTCCTGCTGCCGTGCCTCCCATATCAATATCCGAATCGCCTACCATCACGCCACTGTGGTTAGAACCAGCCTGAGACGGCCGCCGTGATCCCGAGACATTCGCATCTACACCAGCTGCCGGGGCGGGAGGTGAGCTCGCCGGCGGCGGGACTGGTGAAGGCTCCTTAACAGGTTCAGGGGCGGGTTCCTGGAAACCGCCATCTTGTATGCGGTGCACATTGTGGAGGACCTCAATGTGCCGGCCCAGGTTGGCCTCGACCTGAGCCACAATCTCGTCCACCTTCTTGTTGTGCTTCTGTGACCACGGGCCGGAGTTATCATCCGCATCGGCAGAGTAACCCTCCAGACGCCACGGCTCCGGTCCACGCTCCTGAACGGACTTTTTCACATCCTTCTCCGCATCAACGAATACCGAGCTCGCCTTGAGGCTTGCCAGGTTCTTTGCATGCTCCGCCTTCATCTTCTCCATCTCAGCCTTGGTGGCATCGAGGTGCTCCTGGACCCGTTTTCTGAACTCATCAGCCAGGCCAGGCTCTAGCCGTCCAATGTAAGGCTTCTGGGGCGGCTCAGTGAGTGCGTTTGCGCTCTGCGCTGAGAAGATGCCATCAGTCAAAGGTGCCAGCTCTCCCTTGAGGCCTAGTCCGAGATCAGGGGGCGCAATCTGACTGAGGCCGTAGGGCGAAGACACAATCTCCTCCATCCACTCATGGTTTTGTTGGTACCGTGCGAAGGAAATGTCTCTAGGGGTGAGATGGTCAAAGAGATCCTTCTCGAGTTCTTCGTCGTCATGGAGAGCCTCGGCGTGAGCCAAGGCTTGTTGTTGCTGCTGGGCTTGCGCCTGAGCCTGTGCTTGTTGGCGGCCACGACGTCCCTGGGGACCCGCCGGGGGATAGGCCATCTGCTGCGGTACGCGCCGCGACTGCGCCGGCGGGTTGTACATCTGAGGCCGTCCGCCATTACGCGGGAACTGGATCGAGGGCCAGCTCGCGCGATCCGAAAGCATGAAGTCCTTTCGTGCAATCTGACCACACTTCTGAAGGTGATTGCGAGTCCCCATGATGTGCTGAGTCTCTTGTGACACGGGGATCAGGTTGACAGGGACGCGGTCGGAGGGGTCGGAAGGGCCGTAGTGAACGATCCAGAGACTGATGTCTGGCTGGGGCGCGTTCATTACTCCGGTCTGCGAGGGTACGAGGCGGAATCTGCGACGAGCGTGCATGGCGACCTGTTCGCCAGGAATGAATGCCGACTTGACGAAGTGGATTTCGAGAGACTGATGATAAAGTCAGATTGTTCCTTCAATAACGCGACAGGATGCCTACCAATCCATTTCCAACGTCCTGTCTATGGTACTGCTCGGGTCCACAGATCATGCCGTCGCTAGCGAAGTTGGTTCCGAGCCTCTTGAGAGGTTGCCATGTAAGATAGACCTGGCCGTCGCGGGGTCGATCGAGGTAGGTCCAGAAGAAGGGAGCTTTGTCTTTCGCGACTTGGGGCGCCGCCATTAACCACTTCGTTACTTGGTTCAGGTCGACGCGTGCCTGGTCGGCATAGTGGTTGGCGGAGATGAGATGAGCATGGCTCAGCTAGAAGATGGTTAGCGATGAGTTGATATTTTTTTTCGATACCAAATATAATGCTGGCAGCGGTGACCTACCAGCTCCTGATCGATACCGTCACTTGGGTCTTGCGCCATGGTGGATCGCGACGTGGGATTTACGATGCGATGGGGTTGGGGCGGATGCTGATGCACAGCTTTTGTCGCGCAGAACAAGCGATTGTCTCCTCAGGCCGTAATTATCTGTGAGGAGGGCAATCGACAAAGACGTGGGAAGGATTGAGATGGCGCGACAATTGGGGAAGCTACTGTTGGTTGATGGATTGATTGACTTGCAGCTTGGTTCGCGGTCCCCAAATTTGTCGCGACGAGGCTGCGGCACCACGAGTGACCCTTGTAGACAGTTGGCCAATCATAGAGGTACCGGTTAGGGTCCGTGCATGTGGGTACAATTCCTCGGGTACCGTGAATCCAGCCTCCGAACACACTGTGCCAGCAGCTCCATGTTCGCTGTTAGTCCCGACCTTGAGCCGGTTCTTCGCCGGTAAAGGAGGGGTCAAGTTTTCGTCAGATTCCTTTCGCATCGCAAGATCTTTCTAGAAGAAAAGTTATGTGGAAGGATGTGGAGTGGAGTCAAGGTACAACACGTTGCCACACATGCTTACTTATGAGACTTGCATCATGACACACTGTGTGAATGTGTGTGTTTTAACTTTTTTCTAGATAGTCGTCCGCCTATGGTCATAGCTAAGACAAGCTTCTGCTCAACAGCTTCACCTCATGAAATTCGGCATGGCGCATGTTGGAAGGGTTCGGAATGAGAAAGTGGTGGAACTTTTTGTTTCAATTACGTGTAATCATTTCATTTCATTCTCCTGGCATCCTTATACCAGTTCTTATAGTGAGCCCTCTATTTAACCTATCCAGAAAACCATTAAGCGTTGTATGTAGAAGCAGAGACGTTACCTCCGCGGCCGGTCCAGTTGACGTGGTGGTACTGGCCAGCGGGGTACTTGTCGTTAGCTGACTCGGGCTTGACGAGGAAGGTGTGGGCACCTGCAGAAACAGTATGATTAGCAAAATGTCAAAGGACTTCGTGGTCTCAAGAAGCTTACCGAAGTAGTCGCGCTGAGCCTGGAGGAGGTTGGCGGGAAGATCCTTGGTGCGGTAACCGTCGAACCAAGACAGAGCGGTGGAGAAGGCCGGGGTCGGGATACCGAGGAGGGCGGCCTTGGCGACGACGTCTCTCCAGCCGGGCTGAGCAGTGTGGATGGCCTTGTTGAAGAAGTCGTCGAAGAGAAGGTTCTCGAGGTCGGGGTTGCTGCGGAAAGCGTTGGTGATGTCCTTGAGGAAGACGGAGCGGATAATGCAGCCACCACGCCACATGAGGGCGATGGAGGGCTTGTTAAGCTTCCAGCCGTACTCCTTGGCGGCCTCGTTCATCAATTGGAAACCCTGAGCGTAGGAGACGATCTTGGAGGCGTACAGAGCCTGCTCGAGGTCGTCGATGAACTGCTCCTTGTTGCCCTCGAACTTGTTGGTGCGGCCAACGTACTGGAGCTTGCTGGAAGCCTTAACACGCTCCTCCTTGATGGAGGACAGGCAGCGGGCAAGGACAGCCTCGGCGATGAGGGTGACGGGCATACCGAGGTCAAGGGCGTTGATAGCGGTCCACTTGCCGGTACCCTTCTGACCAGCCTGGTCGAGGATCTTCTCGACGAGGGGAGTTCCATCGTCATCGTTGTAGTAGAGAATGTCACGGGTGATCTCGATCAGGAAAGAGTCCAAGACGCCCTTGTTCCACTTGGCGAAGACATCGCCAATCTCCTTGCAGGAGAGGCCGAGACCGCGCTTCAGGATATCGTAGGCCTGGATGTGGTGTTAGCTACCAGCATATAGCTACGAGGAGCTCGGGTGGGGTTGCATACCTCGCAGATAAGCTGCATGTCACCGTACTCAATACCGTTGTGGACCATCTTGACGTAGTGACCGGCACCCTCATCACCGACCCAGTCACAGCAGGGCTCGTTGTCGCTCTTAGCGGAGATGCTCTGGAAAAGGTCCTTGATGTGGGGCCAGGCCTCCTCGTTACCACCGGGCATCATGGAGGGACCGTAGCGGGCACCCTCCTCACCACCAGAGACACCGGAGCCGACGAAGCGGATGCCCTTGGAAGCGCAGTACTTGGTGCGGCGGTTGGAGTCGGGGAAGTGAGAGTTACCACCGTCAATGATGATGTCACCCTTCTCAAGGAGGGGGATGAGGGTGTCAATGTAGTCATCGACGGCCTTACCGGCCTGGACGAGAAGCATGACTCGCTTGGGGCTCTTAAGTTTTGAAACGAACTCCTCCAGAGAGTGAGCGCCCACGATGGACTTGCCCTTGGCCTCGTTGGCCAAGAATCGGTCGACCTTGGAGACGGTACGGTTGAAGGCGGCAACGGTGAAACCGTGGTCTAGAAAAGGATATTAGCCACCTGAATATGGTTATGGGATGTGATTGTCGGAATTACCGGCGGCGTTGAGGATAATGCTATGAGAGAGTTAGTGATTCAATTCTTACACATGGAAATCTGGTAGAACTTACTTTTGACCCATAACGGCCAGGCCGATGAGGCCCATATCAGCGCTGTGACGATGGTCAGCTTGAGTATTCACTAGCCGGACGTTGCTTATTCAGGTGTGAGGAGAAGGAGAGCGGAGCGGGACCTCGGAGCAGGCACAACGCCTGCCACAAGGTTGGCAAGACGAGCGCTGCATTACGAGCATGAGTATGTTATTGCGTCGAGAAAGGAGAGGGCGATGACTTGAGACCAATGTTACATGTGCATTGGCACCTCCCGAGACCGCACCGGCACCGAAGCCATCACGACGGATGTCGACATGCGGGAAATTCGCAGCCGTGGTCACTGTCGTGAGGCATCGGAGGTCGGGAGCGGGGTGGTGGGGTAATTTTTCTTTTGGCTTGAGAGCGAAGAGGGGTTTAGAAGGCAGAGCGAGGTATTACTTACACAGGTCCAGACATGATGAATGATGTGTCGGTGGTTTAGGTGGGGGGTGTTGTTTGATGGAGGAGAGGTTCAAACGCGCGAATCTTTGATGATATGCGGGAGCGTCGAGTTATTTATCTCTAGGGAATGTGTCAAGAAGGAGACGAGAAGCTGGAGCTTTCGTCAACCCGGACGAAGTTTGTAGGGGGAGGGTCGACGGAGGGGTAGGAGGGGAGGGGGGGTGGTTTGTCTTAGTGCAGGGGCCACCCATGACAAGCGCAGATGTGCACACTCCCACTCCTCTAAGTTCCCAATGGAAGTCGACAAGTACCTCCCGGTGCTTTCTCAGCTTGGCCTTCTACCTACTGCGGTACGGATACAACTTTTTCTCTCTCTTCCATCGCTTCCCATTCTTTCTTTGGGGGTGGGATATCTCTCAAAGACTGGGCAGAAAAGCGGGACTAGACGGCTCGTTCGACCATCGACAGGGCTGCTTTGCTGCTTTGACTTGGCTGGTCAGTGGTCGCCCCTCCTGGACTCTCCTGGACTAACTCGAGATGATTGGCTTTTTCCTGTTGGCGGGACGAGCTTACTCATGGACAAAGAGGTACATGCGCAGAATGTAGGTACCTTACTCTGCCTTGCGCTGCTTGTATTTTCCATGCTTTGGCAATCCAATCCCACTTTCACTTCCAGCACTTCCGTACGGATTACGGAGTATGTACACGCATACAGAAAAGAAGAGGGACACATACATCACCGCTCAGGACGTGGAGCTCCATTGAGAGGACCAGACCCTCCTCCAGCCAGCTCCAATTGGACGGCCTGTCAAGGAGGGGCACTTATGACGATGCTCTCTTCTGTCACCTCGCCTTTCCCGCGTTTCTCTGCCATCCGCCATTCTTGTTGTTGAGCAAATAAGCCAGAAGCCTTTTTCACTCGTTTGGCTGTGTCTGGCAAAGCAGATTGACACCAAACACCACCTACGCCAACCGGGTATACTTATGCTCTCAGAGAGCATGAAATGTACCCGACCTTCTCTCCACTGCGACTCCGATGTACCACGGTTACCGCATTGTGCAAGAGAACCGGCCCGCACGGCGGAGGGCGGCCCAGCAACGACCATCATGCCTGCTCCACGCCGGTGGTGTTTTAGTCAAGCAGCGCGCCAGCCTGACGAAGCCCGTCGTGCAAAAAGGCGCTTCTGGATCCGTCCTGTTGTGGTCCGATTCGGCGATAGGCACCCGTTCCCATTGGCCGCCGTGAGCATGTCTCACACTCTGCGTGTTCCAGGGGAGGGATTTGCGACTCCGGTATTCAAACTCGATGCGTCAGACCCTGACGTTTCGCAACCCACGGCCGCGGAGGAACACTCTGCGCTCGGTCTAACAGGCCGCGGGGCTCTGCCTAATCACCAATGCTAATCTTGCGCGACGCACTGCAGCGTTGCGGCCTGTCTGCTGGCGGCATATAATATTATTGCCCTCCCAACGGAGCTCCGGTACTCGCTCGCTCGCTTCGTATGCTCCTGGACCGTCTTGGGTGGTAGGGGGTGAGGAACCATAGGGAATTTGATTTGTCTGGTCCATCGTTGTCTTGCCTATGGCCATGCCCCAAACGTCCCTCGACTTTGAGTTGAGAGCCGCCCTGCACGTGCAGCATCTGTCTCTCGCTCCGGACTGTATTGGAGGAAATTCCGTTTCTTCAGCATAGAAGAGACCCCCATGCTGCCGAGCCGTTCCAGCAAAGCTTCGAGAACGTCCAAACCCTGGAGGAGGCCTGCAGTGCAGAGAGATACTGGGACGTCGCGTTGTCGCGTTGTCGCTATTCATCCATGAGCGCGCGCTCGGCACTCCGCCTTCAGTCGGAGAGAACGCCGTGAAAGACGCAGCCTTACCACCACCACTACCAACCACCAAAACGATTGCGATTATAATTAGGCATTGGATGGGAAAAAGACAGCGGCCGATGCGCATGCGCCTCGCGTTTCCTATCCCTGGACAGCGGATAGCGGGCCTTGCTCGATATACGCGACAAATCACGATGCGCTTCCAATGGTGTGCAGAGGAAGTCGGCCCCAACCAAACCGAAGCTGGCCGTAATGAACCCCTCCAATTCCTCCAGTTGGACTGCTTGGCCGAAGCAGCCTCAATCTATTGGGTTCGTTGAGACCCACGCCCTCAGCAGAAGGGACAGAAAATATCGCACCTCCATCTCCCAAGGTACCTCAAGGTGTGGATGGAGGCAGCGTAGCCGCAGCGCAACCGCCGACGGTGAATCCGTCCCTCGCTGCTCACAAATCGAGAAATATGGCCCTCACAAAGGGAAAACGAGGGGCAACCTCAGTGGGGGTTACCGCCGCCTTCGGGCCTTGGATCGGTCGCACGACCCGGAGTCGTCGGTTGAGAACTCCGCTAATGCTCCGCTTAGAATCCACGCGCATTACTGATTGGCATGGCCCTGACCGAGGGAAAACGCAGCGTCGTGTCGGAGGGCGACGGAGGCCATGATGTCAGTCAGCAAACACCGATAGCTGCACTACTGATTATCCGTTATGTCCGTCTGAAGATGTCCGACGGATAAAATGCAGCTGATGCAGGAACAGCATGGTTAAATGGGATGGTGATAATCCCAGCCGAACGGAACGTGAGTCTGACCAGCACGGCCGGTGCCAAATAATCAAATGGCTCAAGACGGAACTGGGATTCCTGTTTTCCGAGTTTAGACTTCTCTGGGCGTTTAATCGGCGGCATGGGCTGCATTGTGAACCTCGGGATTCGAGAAGCATTGATTTAGGTGCGCGGGATGCAATGAGCGGCAGTTGGTGTAGTCCACCCACCTGGAAGGTTGAAGAGCAGTGCCAAGCAATGGTCACTTCCCTGTCCGAGCTTCTTTCACGAACAAGCCACAGACGGCACGTGACAGATCAAACTTAGCCACCAGCCACATTGGCCACACACCATCGCCGAGGCTGAGACGACATCGTCACAATTTCTCCGAATACATCACCAGCAAAACCCATCTCTGCATTTGCGACAGCCCCGACAACAGCACGCCCACCGTCGGCTATAGCAAACAGCAAAGGAGATTTGACTTCTTTGAGCAGGAACATCCCAGGCTCAGAGGTACGTTACCACAAAAAAGCTCAAGCAAAGCCACACGCGCCTTGCTTGCACAAAAAAACCGTATCATACCCGCAGTTCATTCATCATGGCCTACCCGCCCCCTCCAGGTATCTCAAGCGGCCCCTCTACCGGCAATCCACCTTCTCATCCCTCCCTGCCCGCGAGGCCCCCTCCGAGCAAGTCATCCGGAGGCTTCAAGCCCGCCTTCAAACCCGCCTACGGAGCTGCAGCCTCATCCGCGCCTACCTCCTACTCGAGTGCACCGACCTATGCCAGCGCGCCCGCCGCCCATTATGGCTCACCCTACGCATCGTACTCGCAACAACCGTCGCCGTCGCCCTCGGTAGGCGGCGCCGGCCGCTATGGAGCACCGGTGCCCTCTTACGATTCATACACACAACCCGGCGCCGGCTCTCGTTACGGCCAGCCCTCGAGCTACAATGCGCCGCCTTCGACCTACGGCGCAGCGCCGCAGATTCGCAACCCGTTCCCGATTCCCGGCACCGGCGCCCCTGCCGCCGGCGCATCCGCCGCCTCGGCGTCCGACTACGACCCGGACATGGCGATGCAGATAGCACAGTGGCAGAGCGCATACAGCTCGAACGGCACTAAGGACGCCAGCGGTAAAGACCCGGTCGTCCCCAGCGGTCGTGGGGGCTTCCCTGGAACAGGCAGCAACGTCGCAACCCCTCCCATCATCGACCCCGCAGCCGCGGCCGCAGCGGCAGCAGCAGCGAACCAACCCCCCGAGCGCAAGAAGACCGTCGTCCGCGAGGGTGGCGGCAAGAAGTGGACCGACGACACCCTCGCAGAGTGGGACCCGAGTCACCTGCGCCTGTTTGTCGGTAACCTCGCGGGCGAAGTCACAGACGAATCCCTCCTCAAGGCCTTTTCGCGATGGCAGTCGGTGCAGAAGGCGCGCGTGATCCGCGACAAGCGCACCGCCAAGTCCAAGGGGTACGGTTTCGTCTCCTTCAGCGACGCCGACGACTTTTTCCAGGCCGCCAAGGAGATGAATGGCAAGTACATCCAGAGCCACCCCGTCACGGTGCGCAAGGCGAACACGGAGATCAAGATCACCAACGTCAAGGGCAAGGACCACCGCAACAACCGCAATAACAAGAACAAGAAGCACTCTGGCAACGGTGGTGGCGGAGGAAACAAGAATGCAGATGGTATCGGGTATGAACCCCACCTCGGCCCTGTGCATAGTCACGGTGTCATCAAGCCTGGACAGAAGACCAAGAACGGTCTCAAATTGCTTGGATGATTTTTTCTTGGTTTCAGAAATAGTTCATTCGGCTAGACTGGCGTTCTGGAGTCGGAGGTCACCCATACCCATCATAATCAAAGAATTACATAAAATAGAAGTACTTTCTCGGTCAGACTTTGCAATGAATGTACCAGTTGTGTGATGTGGTGAACTGCATCTCCTGGCGGGGCCCTCTCCGATGTACCGTGTTATGCTACTGATTGCTACTGATTGCTACATCTCTTGACGTGGTGAAGAAGGTGGGAAACCCGACAATACCATCAGAGAATTCCCAAGAAATCCCCCAAGGGTCCCTTATCTCGATCCATCCTCCTTTTACGCGGCTGATTGTGTAACAGGTGGTAAGCACAACAGAGGTACTCAAGATGACATGACCTTCATCCAAGCTCAAATTCATCCCTCCCACACTCCATCCAACTCGGTAAGTCACTCGATGAAAACCCCAGACCGAATATCATCGCTGGAACCCGGTAACACGATCCAGATTAAAAGCCGCACTGATGAGGGCCAAGTGACTGAAAGCCTGGGGCGTGTTGCCGAGCTGCTCGCCGCTGCGGGCAATCTCTTCCGAGAACATGGAGAGGTGGTTGGAGAAGCTTAGCATGTTCTCAAAGAGGTTGACGGCGCGGACGAGGTACTTTGGCTCGTAGACGGAGGCGCGCGTCATTGCTTCGACGAGCCAAAAGGTGCACATGCTAAAGGCGCCTTCTCTTCCGCCGACGCCTAGGGAGTAAGCGATATAGGTTAGGTATCGCATCGCACGAGAGATGGGGGAAACTTGGGGGCGTACCATCGTCTGACAGCTCGGTATCGTAACGGGAGACGAGACCTGTGCTGGTGAGGCCGCCCTTTTCGGGGGGCATGAGGATGCGGTCCATTGTGTTTAGGAAGCGCGGGTCGTTGGGGGCGATGAAGAAGACGAGCGGGGCGATGAGGATGGAGGAGTCGAGCATGGTGTTGTTCTCGTAGCTTTGGACGAAGCACTTCATCTCCTTGTTGTAGCCTGTTATACCGCCGGTGCGGCGGTTGTCAGTTTGTCGTCTCTACTCTCAGTCGGCTCTTCCGCGTGATGTTTGGCATGTGTGCATGTGTATGCGCCAAGGAATAATGGAGGAATAGAGAGTTGTGAAAGGTTGGGTAGATTAGCGCCAGAGGATAAGGGAAACGTACCCTTTTCCATTATCTCCTCCATCAGGTTATCGCGGGCTTCGAGCCATTTGCTACGATTGGGGCAAGGGAAGTTGCGTTTGTCTGCAAGCCGGAGGCCGCGGTCGAAGGCGACCCAGAGCATGACTTTTGAGTAGGTGAAGTTTTGCTTCTTATTGCGTACCTCCCAGATGGACATGTCGGGTTCTGCTCGACATCAATACTCATGCCCTTTATCAATAGGAAAGAAGTTGACAACTTACGATCTGTCAAAGTAAGGACAAAGTCTATGCAGCAAGTCAGCTCCAGTGTTCAGCAGAAGAAAGCAAAACATCATCAACGTCCAAAGAGACAACACATACCCAGCATCTCCCTCACAGAACACCACTGATCCCAGCTGATGGGCTTCCCGTACTTGTTATACAGATAGATACCATCCATGAGCTCGCCGTAGATGTCAAACTGCTGATGGAACGCCGCGCCGTTGCCGATCCGCACGGGCTTGCTGCCGCGGTAGCCCTCGAGGTGGTCGAGCTCCATCTCGGGGATCTCGGTCTCGCCGCGGATGGTGAACATGATGGGCAGCTCGCCGCTGGGGCCGCGCGACTTGACGAAGCGCTCGCTGATGAAGTCCATGTAGGCGTCTGCCTCGGCGGAGAAGCCGAGGCGGAGGAGGATGTAGATTGTGAAGCTCGAGTCGCGGACCCAGCAGAAGCGGTAGTCCCAGTTCCTGTCGTGAACCAGTGAGCTTTCTGTAGTGGAGCTGAAGGGGAAGAAGGGGAAGAAAGGGAAGAAGAGGGAAGAAACAAGCACAATGGGATTATGTGAAATGCCTTACCGAACACCACCTATATCCTCGGGGATAGAAAACGTCGGCGCGGCCACGATGGCGCCGGTGGGCTCGTACGTCAGCATCTTGAGCAGCATCAGGCTCCGGTTGACGACCTCGCGCCACCGGCCCTTGTACTTGCTCTTGGAGATCCAGTTGTACCAAAACGACTGCGTGTCGTGCTGCTGCCCGTCGAGCACTGCCGTCGTGACGTTCTCCGTGACGTGGTCCGGCTTGTCGTTCCGCAGGACGAACGAGACGGCCTGGCCCTCTGTGATTTCCAGGTGCGCGACGACGCCCTCGCCCAGCATACCGTCGCGCTTCTCCTTTCTGAAAGTGATGGAGGGCGCCGGTGCCGCCGCCGCCGCTGCCGATGCGTCCGCCTCGGACTCGGGGACGACGTCGTCGATGGTGACGTCGAGCTGCATCTTGTAGTGCTCGCTGTGGAAGGTGACGGCTTTGCTTGGGCTGTTTGCCGTGTGAGTCGGCTCGATGATGGTGGTGACGTGGGACTCGCTGGCGTATTGGAAGGCCGGGAAAATCTCAATATCTGGGAATGTCAGCTTAGCATGAACTGAACCTTTGTGAGTATCGAACAGTGGCTACCCACCGAGCTGGAGACGGCCACGGATACACTCGACTCGACGGACGAGCCATTTCTTCAGCTCCTCCTGGATCTTGGTCGTTTCACGGAATGCGCCTTGGCGGGTGCTCTTCGATATGACCGTGGCAGTCTTGGGTCGAGGGAAAAAGTCCACAACGTCGACGACGCCGTCATCGTGGATGTATCTAGTTTGCAAGATATTGGAGGATGGGAGGTATTGTTGTCTTTTTGGAAACTGGTCAGGGGTATCACGACGGGGGAAAGTAGTTGGATTTGCTCACTTGGTTGTGCACAGCTTGGACGGAGGAGGACAGATGCTGAAGAAGCCTCCCTTTTCCTGGTCTAGTAACCGACAAAAAATACTGGGAGAATCGAAGTCCGGCCTGGGCAATGGCGCGTCAGATGTCAGGGTTCATGGGCGAGATGTAAGTGGTAGTATCTCATCGACTGGGGAATTTGAGCTCATGAGGGCCGGATGATAGATAGGCCCTTCAACCGCTTTGGTCTCAAGATATTTTAATCTCAAGATCTTGGTACATTGGGATGATCCTCTTGTAGCATCTTATGCCATTATTCATCTCATCGGCTGCTATGGGAAGAGATGAAGAGAGCATTGGGAAGTTCATCACTCGGCCGAATGTAACGTCGGCCCGAGGGGAACGTGTAAGTAGCATCAAGACAAAATGAGGAAGAAAGGCAATCTCATACCAGCACATAAAGTCAACTGAACCGTTCGTCCCCACGAGCGCGCATGTATGCATGTTGCCAATCATACCATAGTCCTCGATCGGCAGGTACCCGGCGCGGCTGCCGGCGACATGCCTCGTCGAGCACTGTTGAGCCATGACGTCGGCTCCCGGATCGTCGGAGAAGCTAGTTGGAGATATCAAATATGGTCAAATATTATATGTGCTCATACGAGACCTCCTTCAATGAGATGAATATGATAGAGATGAGAAACAACAGGGGATATTCAGCCTATGGTTACTGCTGAACAGCCATGAAACCAACTGAACGTAAGCTATGAAGTCAAGATTGAGGTCTAAGCAATGGGGGGGTTAAACCCCGGCGATTACACAGAGAGAACGGGTAGAGCGGAAGCCACGATCTGCGGCTACCCGACTGTGGCTGCGGGGAGAAACCAACAAAACACATGTCAGCGGACGCTTTTGTCATGGTGTCGTCTCTCGATGATTAACGCCGACTAACACCTAGCGCTCAGGTTCTCTCGACCTGCAGCCGACGTGCTGCAGCATAAACAGGAACGGATGCGCAACTCGCTCCCGCTGCGTGACTGCCTACTACCAAATTCAAATGAGCACTGGCTATAGAAGCTCTCGGGTGAAAGGCTGTACTTCGGATGAAAAGCTGTATTGTTTATCCCATGGCAGACAGCTTCTGAGAGAGGGGGGCGTGAGTTGGACCCAAAGTGCGTGATGTCAAGCACCCGAAAGTCTGATGACGCTGTTCAATATCGCATCGCGCCGCTAGTGAGAATCCACTTTGGGAGCTCAGCTCAGCTCATATGGATACCTAAGTGAAGTTGAGCTGCCAGATCGGCAAAACCCCAGGCCCAGGCCCCAGGCACAACACGCGCGAAAGCTACCCTGTTGGAGCTTAGACAATGTGACGAAAATCAAATAGAACCCAACACTATGTAGAAACTCTCATGGAAAGGGAATACGGGTTATGGTGGAGATTTTCTGAAGCTATTCTGCCCAAGAACCCACCGCTCACCGGAACAGAGAGATCGATCGCAAGGGCCTTGAACATCGTATGCGGGGGACGATCTACAGAGTACGGTGTTGAATGATGGTGGCTGACATCATGGGGAAAAGGGTCTGGACCTATTTCTCTCCCTTGGAACGTCTAGCTTGTTCACTCAGGACCTCCCATCCAGCATCCTACACGAAAGGGTGAGACACTCACGCGCTGGGGAACGGGAAAAGGGAAAGAAAAAGGAAATTCAACGGCGACGGGCAGCGGCTGGTAGGTACGCGTAGGTAATCAGGAAGGCTGAACGAGGCGGGTTAGGTGTCTCACTTAACCGCCTTGGGTTTTTGTAGGTATTTCTTTTCAATCCTTTTGGCGCCGGGTTTGATTTCTCGCGCACAAAACAGCACGTCGGGGCTGGTTGGCTGGGTAAGACAAGACATTTCAACGGCCTCGAAAGCTAAGGGGCCAAGGAAGCTTCACGGTTTGTGGGACCTGTGGTAGCTTGTGACGCCGTCTTATTCCTTTCTTCTCCGCGTCTGCGGGGAGAGAGGAAGGATAGAAAAAAATGAGACTTGTGTGGGAGGTTGGCGCGGTGGTTTACCGACATTGTTGTATCTGTCAGTCGATAGTTCCGATTCTAGAGTACCCATCGGACTCGGATTCTCTCATGCCCGCCGTCTGTGAGGTTCGATGCCCCTTTTGGGATGGATTCAACCGTGCGGATATTAGGTCCATGCGTCAAGAGGATAGGGCGACGGGAGAGCTGGGGAAAACAACAGCCTCCCTGCGAACGGATGCGGACCGAGGCAACAAGCATGTTGTTTGCTGTATCCATTGTATCTGCAAGGCAAAGGTCTCAGAAAGAAACGGGACTCGGAAACGAAAACAATGCGACTGTTGTTCAGGATGGAGGTTGATCACTTAATCAGCAACCTCGAGACCGAGAGGGATGGGGTGGCTAAGAACATGATTCAAACAAATCGGATGCTGGGCGGGCTTTTTCTTTTCTTTTGCTCGGCAGAGGGTTGCTGTGCAGCCCGAGGATCCGGGTCCGGAACATGGTGAAAGCTGGCTGGGCAGGAGAGGGAGTTGCGACTTCAATTGGGTTGAGAAAACCACGGGCTGGTGTGTGAGACTGAGATCATTGTGAGACTCTCTCTCTCTCAAAGGTGGGTTGGATCGCTGTGAGCAGTTGGTCACCCGAGCACCTTCGTCGCAAAGTTGGAATAGTCCCGACCGCTAGACTCCTGTAGCTAGGTAGGTAGGTAGTTAGACTGTAAGAGCTCTACCGACGACCGTGATACCTAAGCACATGGCTAGCAACATAACCGAGAGACTTGTGCTACTGCCCACGATGAATGACCTCCCTGCAGCTTGACTACGGAACCGCGGTGAGGGGCGGAGGAGAGGAGAGGAGGGACTGAGGGGAGAGGGGGTTGCGGTAAGGTTGCGTCGGACAGGGCCCCCAACAAGTGGATGAGAGATCCTGTGACTCTGGATGTGAGAGACGGCTGGGCCAAGCTTAAATGGGAGGTTGCATTTTCGGAGGTGTTGGGTTTGTGTGTGTCGGATAGCATTTTAGTAGGACGAACGGGTCCATTTACCGCCCGTGAAACTTGAAGCATCACATCTTCGGACGACCCTCAGTCACTGGCGATCTGGGCCACTTTCGCGTTATGCTATTGCTTCAATGCTTATCACTACTCGGTCTGTGACCTCACCTACTACCAGTAGTTACGGACCACTGTCTGTGTAGGTGAGGTTGATGGGGGGATCAGTACGGATAAAGGGGCTAACACATTGCAGCTAACTTCGCGTACCTCGAGGTAATCTCAGATACTTTAGTAGAAGGACACACTAGTGACGGGCCGCTGGAAAGCATAAAAAGACAAAGGAACGTTGTCCAGCTGAAGATGGGGACCACGAACGAAGAAGCATGATGACTCAAAAAACACGCGTATTGTTACTACCTCATTCGTCCCGGATGGTGACCGTGGTGAAGTCGTGAGAGAGAAATCTCTCATAGTAGCGGGTGCTATTGCAGGCAGACCCAATTCTTCCTTCCGTTCAGTTCTTCCAGGCCCATTGATCCTCGTCCAGCCCGCGGTGGGATGCACTGTTTGTTGACAGTTGTTCTCGCCAGGCCGCTCTGCATGCGGATTCCCACCCAGAAGTCGCCTCCTTCTCCTCGCGTGCCTTGGTGAGCGTCCTTCTGAGCTGGCATGTCACAGGGAGCATAAGGAAAGGTCATCCCTGATGACGACCCTGACCGCCCATGGGAGAAAGCCTGGAAGCGAAGTGCAGTTGTGCCAGTGCTACAGCAGAAGCCCACGAGACGTCTCCACCGTGAGGCGTGCCAAGGCCATCTCCACATTTCATCTTGGGAGCAGGAAGCAGAGACATTTTGCAGAGATTGAAGCACCTGTCCTCAGGAGAAGTTCAGACTGTACATACGAATACTACTGTGTAATGCGTAGAGAAGTTGAGTGGAAGGCGGGTGCGGTAGCGGTAATTGGCGGTAAGCATAAGCCACCGAGATCATGGGCAGGGGGCTGCAGGGCCAGACGGGCAGTGGGCAGCGGTACGTACCTGCAGCAACTTCCAGAGGTACCCTGCCACACCTGCTAGGTGGGTTGGGCCTGTCCCCACCTCACCGCAGTCCCCGGTCCCCTTTTTCCCCTCCCAGCCCGCCTGCCCCGTCCCTCTCCTTCTCCCTAGCAGTGGACCATTTTCAGAGACTCAGCGTGTCCGGTACGTACCCACCTCGTCCGCGTGTGGGCGCCCGCGCGACACCTGTGACTGGAGAAATGATCCGCACCGCACCGCCGTGGCCGTGAACCAGGATTAGGACCTTTCTCACGCGCAGTCTGTCCTCTCGACAGCCTAACTCCAAATGTGCTTCCAAATGCACCAAACATTGCACCAAAGCACCACAAGCCCAGACCCCGACAGCAAATCAACTGCGCCCAGTTCCCTCGTCCCGACCCCATCGACCTAGGCCGATCTACCTTACCTTTTACTGCGAAGGTATTGCGGCGCCCAGAGAAGACGACGGCCGGTAAACTGGATCTGACCCGGTAATACACACCGTACGCATACACCCAGCCTACCAGCCCCGGCAGCTTAGGTTGTGCTTGTGAATCCCGCTGTGGATTCCCAGATTAAATCATGCCCCAATCCTCCTCCTCGCCCTCCGACTCGGCTTCCTCTTCACTTGTGCATGTCCTGCTGCCTCCCGACCCTAGCCAATCTCATTCTCATTCTCAACTTCAATCTCAAGCTGCCTCTGTTTCCGTCTCGGCTGCTGCCAGTGCCGTGTCATCCTCCCCCGACCCCATTGACCACGACGACGCCCTCCTCTCCTCATCCTCCTCCTCACACGACCACCACCACACTACTGATACCACCAACCGTCGCCTCCTGAGCCCGTCACCTCTGCTTCTCCCACCACCCACCGCACCCTCGCCTGGACACGCGACCACCACGGATAACACACCCTCGAACCCGGATGGTCCACGGCCACGAGACGTCCTTACCGCTCATACTGCCCACGCATCGTTGCGCCAGGGCCCTTCTTCTTCCTCCCTCAACACCGCCGCTCGAGAACGTTCTCCTACTGTCGCCGCCGACGACGACGAGATCGAAATGGAGCCATTGAAAGGAACCGGCCACCGCCGGCGCCGCAGCTCGCTCATGCAAAGTGCCGGCGCTAGTAACCACCAAAGAGTCCCGTCAAGGAATCAGGGGAACATGCTGGAAGAGCCAAAGATATCGGAGGAGGATCTCGGAGCAACACCATCGGCATCTAAGAATATCGACGACGATAGCTTTTCCGACGAGGATCTCCATGATGACGAGGAGACGGGTTTGACCAAGAAAGATAAGAGGAGGAAGAAGCAAAAGAAGAGGAACAACACGCGATTAGATCAGCGCTTCGTCCGCGGCGAAATCTCGGCCGAGGAGAAGAAGGAAGCAGATCAAAACGTCTTTAGGAAATCCGCCGTCAACGTCGCCCTGATCTTGCTGTGGTACTTCTTTTCTCTCAGCATTTCACTGGTAAGCCCATTTGCCCATACGCTGCTCTTTGTCGTTACGGCCCGCAGAATCACAAGCTGACACAAGAGGCCCACAGTATAACAAGTGGATGTTTGATGAGAACCGCCTCAATTTTGCTTTCCCTCTTTTCACGACGGCCTGCCATATGTTGGTACAATTCGGCCTCGCATCATTAGTGCTATTCTTAATACCCTCCCTGCGCCCGTCCAATGGAGTGCGCAATTCGGATTTGGGCCGCTCGAGGCACGAATCCGAGCCCGACCGACCTCTGATGACCAAGATGTTCTATCTGACGCGCATTGGGCCGTGTGGTGCTGCAACGGGTCTCGATATTGGACTCGGTAACACCTCGCTCAAATTTATCACCCTGACATTCTACAGTAAGTAATATGCGCCGCCCGACGCTCACCGCAAAAAACTAAACCCTCTTTAGCCATGTGTAAATCGTCTTCCCTAGCGTTCGTTTTGATCTTCGCCTTCTTGTTCAGACTCGAGAAGCCCACATGGCGCCTCGTGGCTATCATTGCGACAATGACTGCGGGTGTCGTTCTGATGGTGTCGGGAGAAGTCGAGTTCAAGGTCAGCGGGTTCATCCTCGTCATCTCTGCGGCCTTCTTCTCTGGTTTCAGATGGGGCCTGACGCAAATCCTGCTCCTGCGCAACCCGGCAACGTCGAACCCCTTCTCCAGCATCTTCTTCCTGGCGCCCGTCATGTTCCTGACGTTGATCGTTATCGCCATCCCCGTCGAGGGGTTCCCCGCCCTCATCGAGGGCCTGAAAGTCCTCGTCGCCGAATGGGGCGCCATTACAACGCCGCTGTTCCTGCTTTTCCCCGGATGTATCGCCTTCCTTATGACAGCTTCGGAATTCGCTCTGCTGCAGCGTACCTCCGTCGTGACGCTTTCCATCGCCGGTATCTTCAAGGAGGTCGTGACAATTTCCGCCGCCGCCATCGTCTTCAACGACCGCCTAACGCCCGTCAACTTTGTCGGTCTCATCACCACCATGGGCGCCATCGTCGCGTACAACTACATCAAGATCACTCAGATGCGCGAGGACGCACAGAAGGAGGTTCAGCGTGGCCACATGGAGGTTGCGCACGCCTCGGGCGCCTCCTCGAGCGGCAGCGATAACGACGACGGCAGCGGCGAGGAGGCGGGTCTGCTGAGGAACAGCACCGATTACGAGGACAACCTCGTCACTGCCGACGGCGATATTCTGCCAAACCCGGGACACACTGCGCACGAGTCGAGGACGGCCCAAGCCCACCGCGACAACTAGACAGTCGTGTCTCGTTTCGTTTCTCGTTTTTTATATATTCAGGCGAAAGAGAAGGGAAGAAAGAGAAAGAGCCACAAACTGTATATTTTTTTTTTTGGGAAGAGGCATACAGCATATCTCGCCGGTTTTTGGCAAGACATAAGGGCAGGCATAGGAGTTTTATTATCACAGCGAAACATTTCCGGGAAAGGGGGGCACCCCACCCAGGACGAAATTGGTAAAGAAGATGGTACATAACTGTTGTTGGGTTTTGTTTATCCCCCGTGAGGATATAAGGAGGGGGAGAGAGAGAGAACCCCCCCTGAAGGGAAGAAGAGGTGGATATACCAATTGGCGAAAGATGATAAAAGGGCTATCATCATAGTAGTGCAAAGCCCCTATCGAGAGGATAGACACAGAGAGAATCAGAAGCACACCAACCATATTTTGACACCATGACATTCTTTTGCAAATAGCGAGCATTTCGGGCACACGTGACCTCGTCAAACTGGCGTAACATCACGCAGATGAAGGGTGTACACTTCAATAGAAACTCAAACTTCAATGTGGTAATGAGCCTAAGGTGAAGCAGAAAAAGTATTGGCCTGGAGATAAGGGCCTCTATACAATGCTTTGCCCCAAAAAAAACCAGACCCCATTCCTCAGCTGCTTGTCCTCGGCTGTAGAAGTCTGTATGATAAATGCTGTCCTCATCCGAGTTCCCGTTCCCTCCTTCACTTTCATTCCCTCCTAGGGAAGGAGGGGGAACGCACTCCTTCCCGTATTCATGAAAGCCCATGACTTCCCATATTCATGCATATCGATCCATGCTTGCCGTTCCCGCCTCCAAAGTGACGAATAAACTTTTTGGTTTGGTTCAGGGGAGGAATTATCTCTCTCGCTCAAGTGCCAGACCCGAAAAATCAGTAATGATACCTTCCCCTCCCCTTATTATAAAACGCCGCGCTATGCCGTGAAATCACCGTCCTCCTTGTCATTGTCCTTCTTCTTTTGCTTCTGCTTCGTCTTCGTGCTGGACCTACTTCTGGGCTTAGCCTTAGCCGTAGTCATCGTCGTCTTGTTCTTGGTGACTCTGCCACCGCTAGTCTTGTTGCCCCTGCCTCTGCCCGCCATCGAGCCGCCTCGGCCCCGGCCCCCTCTCGGGCGGACCGCGCAACCCTCGCGACCCTCGGTCTTACTCGTGCTGACGCTGGCAGCGCTGACAACGCTCGCCTGGCTGGCCGTGCTGCCGGTGCGATTCCGTCTCCGCATGTTTGCCCCCTATGACAAGTCCATGCTGTCACGGTCGTCGCCCAGCCTGTCGCCTACGGAGCTCAGCCCAGAGCTCGGCGGTCTCGACTCCTCCTTGATCCGCGGCGAGGTCGCCGACGGTGCGCTGCCCGGTGGCGGGCCCTGCATCTTGGACCGCCAGGTGTGGATGCTCGGGAGGTCGCCGCCCTCGACCTGGACCTCGCCCACGTCGTTGCCCTTGCCGATGATCGTGCCGTGGTACTTGGAGTCTTCGCCCGTCTTGCTGTGCTTTTTCTTCAGGACTATCTCATCATGTTAGCTTTTGTCGCAAGTCTCTCTTTCCTCTCCGTCCCGTGAATTGAGGGAGGTCGAGGCAACGAACCGTTCAAGTAGTCGCCCAACTCCAGCTCCCCATCACCAACCGCCGCCTCGCGAATGGCCTTGTTCCGCGGTCCGGAGAACCACTTGATGAACTCGTCCACGCCTCTCGTATCCTCAACGATCTTCTCTCTCTCGCGTCCCCTCTCAGTTACCGCCGTCGGCGTCGCCATTGTCAAGTCTCCCTCGCCGTCCGGCACAGCTGCAGCAGCCGCCGCCGCCGCCGCGAGCTCTGCGCCCGCCTCGCTCCTTCCTTCCTCGTCCAGCGAGTCTAGAATCTCGCCCAGTATCGCGCCTCTCCCCTCAGCGAGCACATCGTCCGGGGGCACGGCACCCAGCTCCTGCAGCGCCATGCGTACGTCCACCATGCCCGGGCCAGCGTCGCCTTGCGGGTCGTTGTCGCCCGCGTGCCGCGCTGTCGCCTGGCAGAGGGCGAACATGTAGCGCGCCGCGAGCTCCGTTACGGCATCGAGAACCACGGGTCGTGCGGCGTGATATCCTGTCGCGCGCAGGATCTGGAGGACCGCGGGGCGGAGGAGGGCGTGGAAGAGGACTGGTGGGGGTGTCATTTTGCTTTTTCGTTTGTCCTTTCGTGTATTTGGGTATTTTCAAGTCTGAATTAAGCTTATTGTTTCTTTCCGCTCTCGGGAGTATCGTAGAGCTCAAAGATTTTGTCAAGGCCAAGAATTAATGGTAATAAGCGGCTCGAGAGGAAATCGCGGGTTTGCTGTGACTGGGCTCGTTCGTGGGTTTTGCGATTTCGTCGGTCACCTTCGGTTCTGAGGTAGGTTCAGGAAGCTTCGCATGATGTTGTGACGCGTAATTCTCGGGTCGCAAGTCGTCACTGGATGGATATATAGGCTAGAAGAAAGCCGTTGGTCACGTCAATCCC